ATAACAATTTGCAGTAGGACAAGATTGATTTTTACTGTTGGATCATAGAATACAAAGTCAAAGGTCATTAGTTAATTCAAATGTTTGAAATATTTCTTGAAATGTTAGTAATTAAATTAAAATTATGTTAGTTCCAAATTATTTGTGTGTAAAGAATTATCCAAGAATAATTCGCAATATCTTATCTTAAACCACAAATATGGCTGGTTGGAATTGGATAGTGTAATTTATTGTCTGTTTGAGTGATGCATAAATGGAACAAAATGGCCTGATGATAGGCCCATAAGTGACGAATACTAGAAGGCACGCGTGGTTATATGTATGAAAGTAACAGAAAGCAATGAATGTTTTCTTGGAAATATTTTTTGCATCACAGATAACAGAGTCGCTATTTTTAAAATTCCGTATATTTCAATCAATTCCATCTCAAAATTTCACTTACAGAAATTAAAGGTTTAACTTTTAAATGTTTACTTTTTTTGCCTTCGGAATAACTCACCAGAAAGAAAAATTCTTGCTTAAGCACAAAGTGAAGGTACTGCTTACTTTGGGCATTCAATTCACCGCCGTAATTTTAGGTTTGAAATGAAAAATCACATTATTTTGCTTTAAAAGTTTATTGAACATTTATTGACAATGTTACTGAAATGCGGTCATAAATTTTTCTCGTGATGATAAAAGTTTTATTTTTAAATTTCTGAAATACCCAAAAACAGTATTAACTCAGAAACTTAGGCTTTTCCAAATCATTCTGTAGTTTCTTTTTCAAAGTGAATAGTAGATCTCAGCAAATTTCAGATTTCGGCAAAGAGAGCATCTTTTGAAAAACTTTGGATTTTTAAATTTTTACTGAAAACCACTTTCTCAAATCTGCACGATCTATTAGCCATCTAGTAGCAGATGTTTTACGTCAGAAATGGAATAAGTAAATGACGTAGTTAATGTCATCAATAAAATGACCATACGGAAAATCATACCCAATTATAATTTGAAAAGGAAAAGTTTCAAAGTTCCAAAAAAATACAAAAATATCAGAAATATCAGACACATACACATAAGTATATGTCTGTTCTCATTATTTCAATAGGAACACAGCAGTGCATTTATTCTTAGAGACATTTTTAAATGGTATTTAAGCGGTATTAATTCGATATAAATTACATTGATGAGCTGGTGCTATTTGAATGCGAGGATTGTGAAATCATTCCTGAAGTTTAAAATCCAGTTAACTACGATATAATGCTTCAGATTTAAATTCAACTTCAAGAGAAATAAACAAAAATTTAATTCTCAAGTAATATATGTTTGAAATCTCTGAAAAAATTAAGTTTGTGAGTTAAATTCAAGAATTTTCACGTCATTTGAACGAAGCGAATCACAGACTGAATTTATTATGAGAAGAAGAAATTAATTCCAATGAGAATAAATCAAACAAAGTGATGTATTATCTTATATTTTCTATATCGTTTCATAGATAGTCAAAAAAGCGATGCAAATAATATCGTTAATGATTATGAAAATTTAAGTGAACTATTTATTGGTTGATTTATTTACATCTTCGAAAAATAGTGGATTAATAAGAACAACATACATTATTTACATTTTTTTAAAATGTTTTTAAATAAACAGAAATCTTGCATTATTTTATTTTGCACAAATTGTTTCATTAAAATTTTTATTCTATCATTTTATTGTTTCAATAAATTATAATGACATTCCATCGTTTTGTTGTTTTAATGTGTGACCGAAGAACGATGTATTTGTTTACAACAAGGATCGATTCCCAGAGAAATTTTAAATGAGTAGCGATTAAACTTGAATTACAACACATGGTTTTACCAAAAAAAAAATCCTACACATTTTGCTTTTCGAAAAAAAATGCCGAAATACCTCTCGAATCCTTCGAGATCAACAGAGAAGTCCTGGAACAATGTTCAAACTTTAATACATTTCAATAGATTATGCATAAATTGTTTTATAAAAAGCAACAGCTATAAATATTTAATAATATAACCTATAAAAAACGTGAAGGAGCTAACTCAGATTTAAAAAAAAAAAAAAAAAAAAAACGCAGACTTCGAAATTCTTAATTTTTTAAATTAATTGGTTTTATTGCATCGATTACCATCAGAAATCGTACATTCTTCATATTTTAGTAAAAGATTGAAAGAAGGTGTAATAATTGCAGCACAAATCATTTTTATTATATTAATTTTAATTTTTGGAATTGCAAATTTTCATTTTCTAAGGATTTTCGAAGAATTTTAAGTTTTTTTAAAAAAATTTCAAAGAATTTGAGGATTTTTCTTAGCTTTATGTCTGCAAAAATATTGTTTCTTAGATGGAATCTAATAATATTGGTTGATGCTGATATATTTTGCACATATTGAATTTTTTTTTAACAACAATGATAAAATCAAATATACTTAACAGCTTATCAATCAGCAGAAGATAGAGACATTTTATTATCTTCCACAGCTATACAAAACTTTACCAAAAAAATATTGGAAAAAAAGTCTGGAAATGTTTATATATATATTTTAGTAAATTAAATATATACTGTCAAGTATTTAGCATTAACAGAGGACCTGCATGCAATATGCAATAATTTATGCATGCATTATCTTACATTACCTATCAATTTTAATGTTTGTTTAAAAATGAGATGAAAATGATACTATTTGTGAAGTAAACTGTCACCTCGAAAAAACACAAATTACAGAACTACTACATTTGATGTTTTTATGTAAATTGAAATTTGTAATAGAAAAAAGAGACAATGACAGTATATGATAGCAATTAGACATAACATAACAAGAAAAAACACTAAAGAAGAAAAGGAAAGGAAAAGGAAAAGTGAAATTGATCAATGACAAATGCCAATTGTGTGAATATGATGGCATTTTCTCTTTTTCCTTCCTCAGAAGTAAAGGTCAAAGTTTGAGATTACTGTAAACTATGCTGAAATCAGAAAGTTCCTCCGTGACCTTTGGGAATAATTCCATAGGTAAATGATATATCTATCAGTCTTAGTTTGTTTTTCATTCCATCGTTATCTTCCATCTTTTCTGCTACATTTTAAAATATATTTTAGTATGGTGTGTGTCATTCCAGTAACAAGCAACTGGTCACTGTTTTGCATCCTCCAAAATTTCATTTCAACTGGAAAGGTACTTCCGATTTTTATTTGCATACTGTATGAAAAAATTCAACTCTTATTGATATTATCGCTACCAACGAATAGTAGCAAAGACTAATACATGCTATCTAATTATTGATCATGTATTGATTAAACAAAATGATCTAAGGATCACAGATATAATGAATTCCCTCTGACATAATCGTGTTGTTTCATCATTTGAATGGTCAATTCGTTATTGTTTAATCCTAATCAATCATTAATTAATTTACTTTTTACCACTAATATTTCAGTTTATCATTTAAATGGATGGAAATTGGAAAAAGCTTTATTTATTCAATATCCGTTTTTGCAAATGTCTCGGAGAGAGCATATTTTTTTATCCAGTTTTTATCTTCTTCGAAGTTTTATACCATCAGCCTTTCCCTTCATTTCATTAATTGTCCATACGTATACTATTTCATGTTGTTTCATTCAAAATTGAACAATTGAAATGATTTCTCCTGTAATTTTTAACTTTAAAAAAAAAAATTCTTGAAAAAAAAATCTCCCGTAATAGTTTGGTAGCAATTTTGTTTAACGCAATTTCATACTTTTCTCATTAAACCTTTTATTTTACTTTAAAGTTATTTTGAATAGAAACTACAATGACAAGGTACAAAGTCCGTTGTACATATGTTGAAACTAATATGATATGATCCTATTTTTCTACGGCTTACTTTATTTTCTGGATGTTTGCTCACTTCCTAATTTGATTGTGTACTTCTTTTACTGCTGCCGAATGTATTAAACATTACCGGTTAAGAAATGCTGATCATATTTGTCTCAGAACTAAGATCAAGGTACGAAAATCACCGATGAAATTTGACCATTGCTATTTTCTTTCGTCATGCGAGAATTTTTCAACGAGTTAATTTGGAAAAAGTATTTCATCGGTAATTTCAACAATAAAATGCTTTCTTTCATTGGAAAAAAATGAATTCATTCAATCATTACTAAAATTTTATATTTCATCGGTATTTTCAACAATAAAATATTTATTTCATTGCAAAAAAATGAATTCATTCCCTCATTAATGGTTTTTGGCACATAACGTTATAAACAAAAGAAAATTTAAGGAAAAAAGAAGAATTATGAACTGCTACTAACCGGCATGGGAATGCATACTTTTCCTGATCCTGCTTTCAAGAAGAAGGTGAATGTAGTCATCGTCGTTTTGTCAACAATGTCATCAAATGTTTCTGATCAAATACATTCAACTAAAATTTAATTTGGTTGCAAGCAAGAGGAAAATGTGAACAGCTGTCCCATGAATTAATTGCACTGAATATTGTCATCCGTCTTTCTCCTTACCATCATTCTCGTCATTATCTACACGAATTAAACGAAAAAAATAAGGACAATGCAGTGAAATGAGGAACCCATTGCATCGTATCATTCATTTTCATATAATAATAACCAGTACTTTCTCAACATAAAACAGAGCAATGATAACATGAAATTAAATAAAAAATGCATAAGGTGAATATTATTAACTATTACAAAGTCTAATTTTTCATTTTTATTAATAGAATGTTAATTCATTTTATGATTCGTTTCCTAGTCTTTGTATGATTTACTGATAAAATTTGAATTGATCAAAAAGGAAAGAGCGAGAAAAGGGGTGTAACTAAGGAGAGTTTGTGATGATGATGATAAGGTTAACATTTTCTCTATATAAACAATAATCGTCGCTCATGTTATGCAGAGTAATAAGAAGAGACGACAACCATTCTTTTCCAACTTCACTGATTACTATCATATTTTCAGCTCTGTTGATAGTGGATTTGTCGATAGCAATTACAGTGGTATATCAACAAATATGACGAAGTGTAAATGTGGTATGACTAACTTCATTTCAGATTTTTAATCTCCCTTCTATTTTCATACTATTAAAGTTAATCATTTACACTGAAAGCGGTACCATCGATGAGAATGAATTCACAGCTAATAATTAATTAGTACAGTTCGTTGAGTTGCTATTGCTATGTTATTTGCCTTTTGCTCTATTAATTGATAATACGCTATAACAGTTATTTTTGTTAATTGCATCCTACATTTGTCTTGTGGATAAGATTGACCAGAAGAGATTTAAAGGTTAAGGTTCAGTTCCTAACCATTCACTGTAATGACGGTGCTCTGTCTCAAGGATAATTAATTAAAAAAAAATGTCCCCAATTGTCCTTTGATGCAGATGGTCATCCAGCAGATCACTCTCTCTCTGACCTTTTGTGCTTTTTTCGGTTACAGCTTGCATTCCCAGTCTCTGAAAAGAAAAATTAACCATAAAGGGATGTGCTTCAGAGAAGATATGTGCTCTATTTAAAATCTCTAAAAAGTAAATTTGTGATCCAAAAATATCAAGCAGAAGTTATTATATAATAAAGCAAACGATGAAAGTATGATTAAATGAATTGCTGTAGTTAAAACATTTCTAGTTTAAGGATCATATTAATACAAATTAAAAAACTTAAAAATGTATAAAAAGAAATCTTTTTAGTTTGGATTAAGAAATAGTTTTGATTGAGATTTTCTACATGATTTTATGCTAAATCAATATTTATCCATAAGAACTAACTTATTTAAACCTGGAAAAAATTTATTTCATACCAGGACATTTATTCGCACTATACTATTCTAGAATAGATTTTACTTTAGAAATCTAAGCCTGAACTGATCTGCAATACGCCCTTTGCGGAACATAATACCGGAACATAATAGCACTTCATTTCTACTATCCTTTGCAGGATGTCATGAAGGAAAACAATGCACGTGTAAGGAATGTCCCGATAAATCAGTTGGGAAATCGAAATGTAAGTCGATCATTTTTATGCTCTGCGCTATTATAGTATGAACATTGGATTGCTAAATTCACAATTTCATTCATCAAATTCGGATAAATTTTCTAAAAAAATACTGAGCAATTTTCTCTTCGATGGTTCTTTACATTTCGAAATATTATGAAAACATTAGTTAAGTTTGCAAATTGACAGAATATTTGAAAATTTGTATTTTTATTTAAATATAGTACATGAGAGTATTTATTACACAACAATGTTTTTCTTTTTACGACATTTCATATCTGTTAGTCGCGTCACGTATAAGTCTCAATAATTTCTCAGATCTGAGTGATCGTTTTTGGATTGTTTAAAGAAACATAAAACAACGGTTGTTCATATCTAATCTACATTGCGAACACTGATTCATCTAATAACCTTCAAGTTAACGAATTGATAGCAAATAATAATCCAAAAAAGATAACTGAGGATGGTTTGCGTTTATTTTAAACGGGTAATTTCCCCTGGTCATTTTTTGCAAGCAGATGGTAGTTGTTGACCCTTTGACCCTACAACATAAATGATTTCCATTTCTCTCTCATAAGCATACAATAAACATGTTAATTGAACTGCTGCCTAGAAAGGGATTCAATATATTCAGTAAGTGAGAAAAGATGATTTCATTTTATTTCAATGATATATTTTTCCTGGTTCTATGGTACTTCCTACATGTTAGGTGTGGGATCATGCCATGGTGGCAGTACTGGTACCCATCAAGAGAAAGACCATGAGGATGCCATGATGGGCAAATGTTGCGCTGAAGGAAGCAACAAGCAGCATTACCATTCGGAGAAGTGATGGAATTAATCGATGAGTCTCGGTAGATTTTTTATTTTTGTAAATCATTGGAATTCAATTTAATAAAGAGGTAAAATAGAACAGTAAAGGAAATTATCGGGCAATTCTCCACAACTCCCAATAGCATATTCACCTGCATAGCTGACCTTGACCAATTCCTTTAACCTTAGATCATCAGGAATCAGTCTACCTTCTAACTCTTCAACTACTTCCATATTGTACAGTACTACTCTCACTTTAAGTTGTTCTTCCTTCAAATTCTTTTGCACTGTTTACGGTTTCTTCCTCTAACTATTAGCAGTTCCTTTTATCTTTGCAGAAGATTTAACGACCTATAAAGCTGCATAGCCCAGTCTGCATTAATCTTTCTATGTTTTTGATATTATTTGTCTAATTCGTCCATAGATTCTATTATTTCTCTCATTACAGCACTGAGAAGAAGCACCTGTCCTCAGTTAAGTGTCAGGAGTTATAGTATTTATTGTATTCTATTACTGCCATACAAATACTATATATAGCGAATAGTAACTATCTTACTTCATTATTTCAGGATTTCTGCATCATGAAAATAATTCAGAGACAAATACATTTAAATGAAAAGAACATCCACAAATTATTACTCATCGGTGCTCATTATTCAATTCTATTATTTTCTTAAACTCATTAGAAAAATATCCCTATCAAATAACATCAGTTTAAATCAATTCGTATATCTACATTATAATCGTTCTTTTTTTTGAAATAATAATATTTCGAAATGTTACCTTCTTCGAGAATAAACCGCTTTTGTTGGAAATAGTTGCAATAATGTTACAATTGAAAAAGTTGGCCATAGATTTAGTCCGCAGTGCTACCGTTATGGGGAAATCGGGTACTGAAATAAAACTCTATGGAGATAGATCCAACTATTGCCCATAGAACATGACAAGAATGAAACGTGAATAAATGATTGGGGACATCATAAGGGCAGTACTATCGACTATTTCAAATATGCATTCTCTTCCTACTTACATTGATATTTATAATTTTGTTTTTTATAATAATCATTTATATATTTGAGAATTCCAATCATCTTAAATTGATTCCATTGACCCATTTGATTTCATATCGATAGTTAAAAAGCTACTACTTCAGTCATAAAATAAATAAAACATTCATTTCACAAATATTTCTTGAGAAAAGAGGTTTTACCTCTTTTCTCAAGAGCAATAAGAGAGCAATAACATCGGAACTAAAAGAGCAATGAAAAGCAGTGACAGAGCAATAACATCGGAACTAACCAAAAAACAATAACAGCCGTTAAAAACAAATCACTGGGATCTTATTCAAAAAAAAAAAAAAAAAACAACATGGAAATATGCAAAAGTCACAAACTGTGACGTAGCCTTCATAGTCCTTAAAAAAATAAACAAGCAGAACATAGAACACAGCAAGTATTTCTGCACCCAAACATATATTCAAAATATTCAAAACTGAATTTGAAATTTTAATCCTTTTATTCTATATTTTCGCTCAAAATGCCAGTAAATTGTAAAAATATGCAAAAAAAAAAAGAAAAAAAAATTGTACGAAAAATCAATCAACTCATGGGATCAAAATAGTATTATCTACTACGAAATACCTCTTCTAAAAATTAAATATCATTTCATTTAATCATTCATTCGTTTTTGTTCTTACCGCAATGCTTTTAATACTAATAATATTCATCACCATATGCATTCATCACCTATCATTTACTAACATGAAATCCAGTAAATAAAGTGATACAGATTTAACTATATTGCCTAATAAACAATAATGATATTCATGATTTCGAAGAATAAAGCAGTTTACAAAACATGAAAACATTTAAAGCTAAACTTAATAGCATCCCCAACACACAAATGATATTAAATAATGTAAATTTCGATGAACCAGGTATCAAACTCACTGATGTTACCGTTGACGGAGCAAATGACCTCACGTAGCGTGAGGAAGGAAGATGCACATCACTATCCAAAAAGAATCCCTCTCGTGCATCACGAATTCGTAAACGAGGTTCTGCCAATACCGGTTTCTTCATAGAATCGAAAGGACCTTTTTGAAAGTTATGAACTTATTAACGAAATTATGGTGAAAGTCCCTCATTTATTGAAATTTGCATATAATGATTAACAAAAACATGGAAAATGAAATTTAAAAAATACAATTACTTCAAAGTATTACCACGACGTTGTTGTAAAATTGGTGGCCTTTTGAAAGGACTCAAATTATCACCAAGCGACAAGGAATTGAAGAGTTTTCCCAATTCTCTTGCAGGTGTTGATTCGTGTAATGGGAGAGTTTTATCTCGTGCATTTTCAGAAAAGGATATACTCGTACTAGTATGCGCGGATAGAGTACTACACTGTGATAATGGAGTACTTGCAATTGAGAACGCACTGAAAATATCACATATCCTTACGTATTAAATAACTCATATTTATTGTTATTATGTAAAAGTATGCGCTACTAAATGGATGAATATTGATACCTTTGTGAGCCAAACGTTAACTAACAGTAAAAGACGGTCGTTTAAAAGGTGAATCTAACTACTTTCTCATTTTTTTTTTCTTTAAATTTGACACTAAAATTTTTTTTTGTGTCGATTAAAACTAAGAATTTCATAGCATAAGATAAATTATTGAACAAACGTAATACAACTAAAAAAGTCTTTACATGTCAGAAATGTTCATAATGATTATAAATCAAGCAGTTATCATTATAAATGAGAACTATTTTTAAAACTGAAGCTAGCAAATATTAATAGCTACCTTTGTATGATACTATTCGGCCGTTTTCGATGCAATAATTTTCGAGGAAAAAAAGCAACAGCGAATGAAACTATGCACAGTATAGACACGAAACTTAACTGCGGAAGAAGCAGTTCCTGTTTATCACCTCCACTACTCTTTAGGAATAATAACACGCACCTAAAATTAGCATTCATTTTAACAACTACTATTAGTTATTGATAATTGTGTTAAACACAATTATTAATAACTAAAAACTGCAAAGTAAATATTTTGAATAGAAAAACGATGCTACATTAAACTACGAAATTAATTAACATTAAATATTAAGAAATATTAATCAATATTAAATACAAGACGTAGAACACAGTAGTGCAAAACCACATTTCTTACTGTAGTGTCAATTAGCAACAGAACATTATGAAAACTGCTTTGGAGACTCATTGTAAAAGCAGTAAAAATTTGTTAAATATTTGAAGAAATAAAAAATATTCTTGAAAAAACCAGTACACTTCATAACAATCATTGCAAAGCAGGATACTAACCAAATAAAGAGTGAGACAATATCAGGCAAGGATCGTCGAGCATGCATTACAATTACTGAGATAATATGCGAACCGAGACCAAGAAGAATTATCTTCGAAACATGGGACATCAGAAATGATATCCACGAAGACAGAAAGTAACATGGCAACAACTGAATCAATTCGAACAACTAAAAATAGACCATTTGAAATACGTTGCCTGTAACTTTCAATTGGTAGTTTCGTTCAAAACAAAATGTGATAATTATTTTAACGAAAGGGTAATCGCAAATATTTGAAAATATTAAAACTCACATAAGTAGTGGTATTGTTCTGCAGCTGCAGCAAATAAACAATGAAAAGACAACATGAAATAGAAAATGTGACTATATTTAAACAATTCGAGAGAGGTCCACAGTTGAAGAGTGCTGCACGACGATGTCGGTAGCTCTGCCTATGCCGTCGTACTTCACTGATCTATAAATCAAATATTAAAATGATATCAAAGTTACACGAAGGAAAGCTACATTCTTAGAATGTTTTTTGTATTAGAAAATTACAATTAAAATTTTGCAACTATATTTCATCCATAATCTTTGAAATTTTATTTTTAATTACCTAGTTCACATATCATTGCTCAGTTGTATCCTGTAGAAACTTCTTTGAAAAACTTGAAATTAAAATGAATTCTTAGAATGTTTTTTGTATTAGAAAATTACAATTAAAATTTTGCAACTATATTTCATCCATAATCTTTGAAATTTTATTTTTAATTACCTAGTTCACATATCATTGCTCAGTTGTATCCTGTAGAAACTTCTTTGAAAAACTTGAAATTAAAATGAAAGTACCTCAGAGTATTTCTGTGAAAGTTGATTGTAACGATAGGTAGAAGTAGAGATGGGAGCATTGTAATTGAGTTGATTTAAACCAAATTTCTTAAAACGAAACAATAAAAGAGAAAAGCAGACAATTATATCAAAAGTATAATTTTTTTTTCCCCTTAAACTCTTTAAAATCAGAAGATTTAATATCGCAGTATTATTATTTTTGTTATTATTTATTATTATTGCTATCACTATCTATTCCATCTATTCTATCTATTATTACTGTGCAGCAATAAAAGATAAGACGCGATATCTTTTCCTTATCCCTCAAGTTATCTGAACTATTTCAAGAAAATTAAAATCAACTTTTTGACTCAAATTCCTAAAATTTCTCTTCTAATCCACTAAAGTACGAACAGTGGAAATGAACTATGTGGAATATATAAAGCGACCTTGTCGAGTTCCAATTTTCTTTGCACGACTTGTTCACAATTACTGCAGAGCGGGTAGCTCCTACGTAAACGTGCTTTATAGACTTCGAATTCGCCATCAAAATTTGCCTCAAATTGCACAATTATATTAAAAATTAAAAAAGAAAAAAAGTGATGTATAGAATATTATTAACGCGCAGTCGCCATTTACTACAAAATCTCAGATCAGAGACGAAAGAATATAAAGTTAAACGTGAAGAAAAAAACCTCATTTCGAGGCTCAAATTTGTTAATTTGTGATTGAATACGCGCTTGCTGCATGTTGCATTCTTGACATAAACTACTATTGGTGACTGATTCTGCACTTTCATTCATTATAATGTTGTCGATATATTGCTAATAATGAAAATGGATTAAAAAGAGATTTAATGAATTATAAAACGAAGA